CAATAACATGATATTTAGGCCCTGGAATGTGAATTGTACCAGGAGAACCCCGCCAAAAAAATTTGTATTTTACCCCCCGAATGCGATTTTTACTGGGGGACCCCCTCGAAAGCAATTGGGCTATTTTCAGGCTAGGTTTGATTAGTAATTGGGCGGGGTTTGTAGCGAAAACCTGGCAACCCTGCACCAGACAGAGCTATCGGCGATTCTTCCTATTGTAAAGTCATGCAGTGTGTAACCTCCTGTCGTCGTTCCATCGTGCAATGTGAACACAGCAGCAACTGAATGCTACCCCAGATAGTCCTTCAGTGTGAAACCAACAGTGATGCAACGTCTTTGAAAATTGTGCAGTGTGAACTCGGCATTAGAGTAAACAGAAGATATCGTTGGCTGGTGTGGACGATTATATCGTTAGCTTTATAGTTATCGTGCTTGGTGTGAACGGGTCTTTAGAGTAAGAAAGTCCAGTAGTTCATGTTCGAGTAGGCCTCTCTACACAAACACTCACTCACACAGAATCTCCGTCCCTCTTGCTCTGCATGGCTTCATATTTCTCCATTACGCAGGATTTTAAACACCTCTTGTACTCCTATTAGAGAAAAAAGAAGCCGAAGAAGAAGAAGTTCTGCACTATTTATCCCGTCAGACTATCAATCACCGTCGCTCTCGCTGCCCCGTCTTGGGCGCAAAGACAGCGCTCCGCGGCCAGCCATTTGTCAAAACGGCCCCGGAGGCTACGCATGGCTGTGTCCGCGGAGGACGGCCTGTCGTCGGGCCGATGTGGATGAACGAAAGCACTATGCAAATTAGCGGCTAATCTGTGGCGGAACACAGGCGCGCCAGGCTTGCAGGTTCCATTACTCCTCTTTAGCTCAGTTGATTATGATTAAACTGATGCCTGCCGATCGGTTTTAACCCTTTTGCCCGCCAAAAAAATCTTGCCTATTTTGTTGCGTTGGGCTAATTTTTCTGTTCTAAATCTTTCAATTGCATTTCAGTAAATTCATCTTCCTGTCATTCCATTCCAACATTCCGTAGCCATTCAAATTCAAATTCTAACTAATCAATTTAAAGGTAGACAATTCTTAAATTCTGAATTGGTATGAACTGCTGAATGTGCAAATCAAAAGTCAGATATCAGAAATAGGCCAAATACTTTACATGCCCAAACTGTTCCTTTTAAAATGAAAATGACTCTTGTCGGGCCAAGTGAAGTTTCCCATCAGAAGCTATAAGATAATGATTAATGGACTGTGTGTTCTACAGACTGTGAAGCCGCAGATCTTGGCTGCCATGAGCAAACTACCAACGCCTGAGCCCAGCTGGTGCTGAACAGACCCCCAGCAGCACGCTTTTCGAGTGGGCCATTAAAATGTGGCTTGTTCTTATTTAATCCCCGTGTGTATGAAGGCCGCATACCCTGTCCTACCGCCAGCGCACCACATGAACCAAGCAGTCCCTAGACAGAGGGCAAGTCCTTCTTAACACACCCAGCTAGGACAGCGGTCAGCCATTAGTATCCCTCAACCAGCCTAATCGCGCCAGTGGGCATCCTGGCATCCGCCGCTTCTCTGGCCATGGTTCCTGTTCAACTGCTGCCAGAGCCTGCACTGGTGAGTGTTACTTCTCAAATAAACAGGACGGAGAGCCTGCCTTCTACTGGCAGGTTGTGGAGTTGTTTTCTTTCTTTCTTTCTTTCTTTCTTTCTTTCTTTCTTTCTTTCTTTCTTTCTTTCTTTCTTTCTTTCTTTCAACAAAAGTAAATCTATTTCATAATATATATAATTAAATAAAGTATAATTTTATAACTGTCTATAGATTAATATAAAAACTGCTGCCAGAGCCTGCACTGGTGAGTGTTACTGTGTTACTAAACAGGACGGAGAGCCTGCCTTCTACTGGCAGGTTGTGGAGTTGTTTTCTTTCTTTCTTTCTTTCTTTCTTTCTTTCTTTCTTTCAACAAAAGTAAATCTATTTCATAATATATATAATTAAATAAAGTATAATTTTATAACTGTCTATAGATTAGGATAAAATAGGAAATAATCTAATGGAAATTTTAAAAATATATTTATTTAATTTAAATGTGTCAATTTTTATATTGTGTTATTATATATTTAAATAATATAAAATAAAAAAAACTGTCACTATATATTCATTCATTCAATCAATTTTATTTAAAATGTTTGTGCATCTTGTAACATTTCTGGCAAGGTTTTTGAGATGTACCTCTAAGCTCAGTAGTATTTATAAACAAGAAAATAATCTAAAAAGACAATGATGATGATGATAATTCAATAGGGGGGAAAACAGCAGCAAAACAGCTTCGGTACAACAAACTCAATACTGACAATAATAAAATGACAGCATACAGTATATTTGTACACACATGTGAACCTTATATGCAGAAAGGACATATAATATCATATCATATAATTGCCTCTGTATATATGTTTATATATTGATATAAAAAAATCATAATTTGGGGAAGAGAAATATATAACATATATATATGTTATTATTATTAAGGGCCATTAAGGGCCTTATAGGCAAGTAATAATATTTTGTAACTTATACAGAGCTTAATAGGTAGCCAGTGCAGAGACTGTAAAATTGGGGTAATATGATCATATTTTCTTGACCTGGTAAGGACTCTAGCCGCTGCATTTTAGACTACCTGTAGCTTGTTTATTGAAGATGCAGGACAACCACCTAGCAGTGCATTACAATAGTCCAGTCTAGAGGTCATGAATGCATGAACTAATTTTTCTGCATCAGAAACAGGTAACATGTTTCGTAGCTTGGCAATGTTTCTAAGATGGAAGAATGCTGTTTTTGTAACATGGGAAATATGATTTTCAAAAGACAAGTTGCTATCTAATATAACACCCAGATTTTTGACTGTAGAGGAAGTAACCGTACATCCGTCTAGTTGCAAATTGTAATCCAAGAGATTCTGTGTACTGTCTTTTGGTCCAATAAGTAATATATCTGTCTTATCCAAATTTAATAGGAGAAAATTATTGGTCATCCAATCTTTTACATTTTTAACACACTCTGTTAGCTTAGATAATTTAGAAGTTTCATCTGGTCTTGTTGAGATATATAGTTGAGTATCATCAGCATAACAGTGGAAACTATTCCCATAATTTCTAATAATATTACCAAGGGGCAACATGTATGTCGAAAACAGCAGAGGACCTAGGACAGATCCTTGTGGCACTCCATATTTTACTGGTGATATTTGAGATGACTCCCCATTTAAATGAACAAAATGGTAGCAATCGGACAGGTAGGATCTAAACCATCTTAAAGCCTGCCCTTGAATACCTGTATAGTATTCTTTACAGTATTCTGTATAGTATAGTAATTTTAAAGTAACAATTATTAGTTGTGCATATGATTTTTTAAATATATATATATATATTTAATTGTTAGAATGAACAGAGAAGAAAAAGCAGCCAAATAGTGTCCTGCATCTATTACCTGAGAGAATAAAATAAAATATAAGATAGTTGTATTTTGAACATTTGACTCGTATATTGTAGTATAAACAGCAGTTTTTAAGATACTGTCACGATGCGGAATCGGTTGTCGTCCACTATGACACACTACACGAGCTGAAACGATGAAATCTTGCGTCCCGACGCCCATTGTCGTTTACGAATCCTCACGACACCCTACGTCAAGCAAATCGGTGTAAAATCGGGCTAAAATCGTGTAGTCTGAACTACATTTGTGTCGCGGCGCGCCGCATGTACGGCAGAGAACATAACTGGGTTTCTATTTGCTTTTGTCTCGCGCCACTCGCGTCTGGTGTAGACACGTTGTTTTGGTATTTGTGAATCTTAAGTATATTCATCATTTGCTTTACGTACCTGGCACTGGCAGTATTTTCACAAGCTTGTAACTTAACGTTACATGCTTAGAGCAGAACCATGCATCGTTCATTTATATTTCTCCATGGCTCCCTGCAATACAACTCTGATTCTTCAATCGCGCCATCTAGTGGTCTGTTATTGATACAACCACAACTGCTACAACTGATAACGGAGAGCTAAAGCGGTTACTGCGAGTCATGTTGAGGTTATTAAAATATGTCAAATTAATATTTTGCATTCATTTATTTACTTATCAGGCAAGTGGCCACATGATACGAGGGAAAATTACACAGTGTAGTCTTTATCCCAAAATCTGCTGACTGTACACTATCCCTCAGCCTTTCTGCGCCCCCCTTGTCATAGCTCTGCGCCCCCCCTAGGCAAGCGCCCTCCAGTTTGGGAACCACTGCTATAAGGTGACATTTCAGCACTTGACAAAAGGATGGCGACTCCTAAGTAGCCCTTAAAGCAGGGCTACGTGCGATTGTGTTAAGTGCATTTTTGGGAAACGCACGTGAAACAATAACAAATGATCGTAAAAGAACTTGTAGAAAACGCTCTTAAGCGCTAAGATCAATCGTTATCGGGAAACCCAGCCCTGTTTGGTTGTCCTAGTCATGTGTCTTGTTTCTCATTGGTTGGTTTATGTCATGTGACCCTTATTGCTTGCTATAAGTAGCCCTCATGTAGCCTTTGTCTCTTGTCATGTATTGAATGTATTAACCTCTGTTTGGTGAGTTGTTTCATGTCTGTAGTCAAGTCAAGTGAAGCCAAGTCAAGTCGAGCCTTTGTGTTTTGTTTGGATTTTTGGATTTCTCTCTGTATAATAAATCTGCACTTGGATTCATCTACAACTTGCTGTTCAGTGGACCATCATTACAGATACGTTAAATGCTATATATTTATATTTAAAATATATATATTAAATAGGAACGCATCATATGTAATATACATGACAGTCTTAAAAAGAAAGAGAAAAAAAATCAGTTATTAAAACAATCTCTGTTGATTGCATTCCTAACATCCCTTTTATTGCATCTTAACCACGAACTAATGTAATATCAAAAGCTGATCCTGTCATTAATCCTTTACACGCAAGTATATATAGCTATTGTTCTGTGATGCTGATGTCACATTGCTCTGTTTATTCAGGCAGCAGAGGGAGGAGGGGCCTGATGTGTGTCTGTGTGGCTGCAGGAGGGAGGAGTAACGCACCTGTGAATCTACACCTGGCTGCCAGAGAGAACGAGAAGGACAGCCAAGCTGGAGGAGAGACAGAAGAGAAGAGATAGACAGAAACTCACTGAAATCTGTAGAAAAAAAAGAGGGTCCTATAGGGCGATGACCTCACCTGCTGGACTCAACTGGACAGAGAACTGAACCGAAGGATAGTGACCCCTCTAACACAGATAACAACCGCCTCAACGGACATACATTCACCTGCACAGGTGAGAGGGGCTTTTTACTGGGATTCAATGGCTGGGAAAACTCTTTAAACTCCTTGGAACATCATCCAGTTACAATTAGTTTCATATTAATTAGTTGACCGATAAAATTACTGTGCAAAATGCAGATCAAAGGAAAGTAATATTGAGTTCTAGAAAAATAAATGAATTGATCATAAGGAAATTTATAGTAAGTTCCATAGAAAAAAAGCGTACTGATAGCTATAGAAATTTTAATGACCTTTGGACAGAGACACATTTGATTACACATTCATAGCAAACAGTGAACCTTCATCACTGACTAATCATGCACAATGAGGAGCCTGAGATGAGTGTGCGTGTGCGTGTGCGTGGATTATTGCAATCAAGTGAACACTTTGAAATGCAAAACATTTCTTTCAGTTGTGTCAACAGTACAAGTTCAGCAGGCACCATGAGCATCTTTTGAATGGACTTATCCTGACAAAATCATTGCATTGGGAAGGAATCCAGTGAATTGAAATGAAGAGATAACTGCTATAAATGATTCTCTTAGTCCAAAATTTGTGAGATATTCCTAGTAGAATATGAGTTGTCTAATTCAAGTGTACAAATACGAGAAGAAACAAGTGTCGTTATGAAATTAAATGCGAACGTTATGGAGTCTAGTGCCTCTGCTGCCTGCTTTATTTTGTTTACCATGTGCTTATTTGTATTCACACACAAAGTTCCCTTCTCCCATTAATGAAAACTTTCAGTTTTGTTTCTACTAGACAAATAATCTCACATGTCTAATAATCTCCTCTACAGTTTCGCAAGAGATCTCTCAAATGTCTCAAACTCGACTCAGATGTGCTAAAAAGTCTAAAATCTGCAATCAAAAGTCACAGAATTCAATATGAATTCAGAAATTTCCAGTTCTCTCAAAAGCAAATTATCTGTGCTGTACTATCCACATTCAGTTTATACAGCTGTATATTTGTACTATCTCAGTTGTCAATCGATGTTGAAAAGACATCAGTTTGATGTTAAAAAACAGGTCAAATATGCTAATCAAAATGTCAAAGACTTGACATGACACTGATTTGATGTAAATTGAACGTCAAACATAAATGAATTCTTGAAGTCTTGACTAATATTTGAGGTCAAAAATGATATCAAGGTGCCCACTAGGACAGATCAGCAACTGTCATTCATGTGTATATTTTTTATTTCTGAATGATTTTTTTGAGAAACATCATAGATATTTAAGATCTCCAAATGGTCTCCTAAACTTTAAAAGAGCAACTTCCGAGCAGTAAAATGTTCCTCTGGGGAAGCTTGGGACCAATTTCTTTTTCATCCTTTTTTCCTGCCTTTATTTTAATGTTATCCCAAACTTACACTCTTTTTGAAATAGGTGTTAAATAGTGTAAAACAACATGAAAATAAACCTGAACTAGGCACCAATGCACATTTTGGGCCTGTAAGATGGGTCAAACACAAGAATTTTTTTTCTGCAGTTCTTCTGATCACCACAATTCCTGTCATTTGCACTACTTTTACTCACTGGTATGTACCACAACTCCCTCGCAGTGTGACAGTTCTCAGAGCGAAGCTCTCCGAGGACCTCCAGTTAACACCTGATTTTTTTTCCAACCATGCACCGACAAAATAATTAATTAATCAAGATGTCTACAGAGATTTCTACCTCTCGTGGGAGCTTCTGTTGAAACTAAATGTACTTTGTGTCGTTATTACTGTGATGCCTGTAATAAATTGAAACACTTTTGCAAGAAATTAACGCTGCCCGTAATTCGCGTGACAAGACAAATCAGAAGTTTGACTTTCCGAAGCCATTGTTTTCTCTACATTATCGTGATCTGTCAATCTTATCAAATCTTTGAATAATCAGCACACAGTTCCTGATGGCCATTGACATGTTCCCGGAAAGCACTGGCCTTTCCATCTGAACAATGATTTCCTTGACCCTTATCATTATTTTTATCTTCGTATGAAAACCACATGCATAACAGTATGAAGTGCTATAAGATCATGTGTTTTGCTTAAAAGTTCCCCTAGCATGCGAAGAGAAACCTTCCTTATCTGAATCCTGGTAAAACCATGATATTTCCCATTGTAGGGCTGGCCTAATTTTAGTGCATTGGGGTGCATTAATATTACAGGCCATTTCAAAATCGATATTTGTATTATAAATCATGATTTAAACTACAGTTGCAAGCAATAAATTGGCCAAAGAATTCAAGACTGTATGTAGTTTAGTAAGTGTTGACATCACTTTTTTAACATTGAAACCAAATACTTTTAAAGTATGCACTTATAGCTTTTCAAAATATAAAATCATTTTACATAATTTTTCAAAGTTTTCAGTCATTCTACTTCAAAACTAATTATTTGTGAAAGTTATTAGCAATTTCCGCCTAAAAAGTTTCAACGCAAATCCCACACCATTTTTCTTTTTCAGTGTAATGAAAAATGCTTTATTGTTAAGGCCCTCCTTTTATAAGGTTAAAAGCGGTTAAAAAACAAGGCTGTAAGGTTGAAAGGGAGCTGCATGGCACCACCTGATCTCTGTTTGCTCCCGTGAACATAAAAGCAGGAGCAAGAGTCAAAGCCCTGAGAGAGAGTGAACAGAAATTAGCATACTGTATGAAAATGAGCACTCTGTTTCTAAGCAACAGAGCCAAGCCTTTCCAAATGGATATTACCATGCTACAGCAGTTTTGTGTGAATCTGAGTGTGGGAGTTTATTTTCACATTTCACAGCAGGCTGATTCAGTTCGAGATATGATAATGGACAGTGAAGCAATAAAGGTTTTCCAGGATATCAAAAAGTAGCCCAGAGTGTTTGTTTTATTGCTGCCGTTGTGTGTGTGAGTGTGCAGCAAACCTCAGAATATGACACGGAGCTTCATTTGGACATTTCCGCCATGTGTGCTGTATGTCGAAGGCGTGCTCGCTTTTAGTGTAAAATCACATGAATTAATGAATCATGTAAAATCCATTTGTAGTGTGAGCAAAGCAGCAATACTCCAAACATTAGGGCTAAAATGAAACATTCAGACCTGAGAAGTGAAGTCCAAGAGGTCAGATGTTATAATGAATGTGTTCAGTTTGTGGCCTGCATGGAGACCGTGATCAGAGAAAGATTTACACATTTCTGCAGAATTATTTTGGCTAATGTGAATGCTCTTTTAGCTCAGTGTGATGTTTTGCCACTTTATTAGGTCAGTTTAACTAAATTATAAATTAGATAGTGACATTAATATACAGATTTATGTACATTATATATACAATATAATTCAAAAGTTTGGTGTCAGAAGGATTTCTCTCTTTTTTTTAAAGAAATGTCTATTTTTTATTTATGAAGGACACATTAAATTGATTAAAAATGACAGTCAATTGTTACAAATAATTTATATTTGAACTAAATTCTGTTATTTTAAACTTTATATTCATTAAAGAATCCTGGAAAATTGTATCAGCGTTTCCACAAAAATATTAATAAGCCCAAATGTTTTTAACTTAATTATAATAATTATAATAAATGCTACTTGAGCAGCAAATCAACATTTTAGAATGATTTCTGAAGCATCATGTGACACTGAAGACTGAATGATGCTGAAATTCAGCTTTGCATAAAATGTAATAATATTTCACAATATTAAGATTTTTACTGTATTTTCAAGTGTGCATAAATACATTTACTGCCCCAAATGTTTGAACCATAGTGTGTATCATCAATATTATTAACTTATACATGAAAATAAAACACTCTATAATTTAACATTAGTATGGTCTACATTTAGCATTTCCATCCTCCTAGCATATAGCTGCAGTGCAGCGTGTGTGAAATTTGAGGCCTGTAACCGAAGCTCTACAGCTTAAAACATTGCATACCGCCACCATATGGTGCTTATTGAATTACACTAAAAAATTAATTAGCGGCTGCCCCTTATAATGTGAGACCCAGATCTTACATTAGCATTATCTCACACCCTCAGGGCTCAGCTTACACATTATGACCATTCCTATTACTTATGTTCAAATTGAACAAAAAGCAATATGTTTATAATTAATTCTCCTTATTTAGGCCTATGGTGTTTAGTCACAAATATAACACTCTCATATATATATATATATTTCATTCTGTCTCCCTCGCAGAGCTATCAAAGTCTGTTTTCATCTAAATGGCAACCGCAGAACCTGCACCAGCCTGGTGGAAACTGACTTTCCTGCGCAAGAAGAAATCAGAGCCGAAAGTGTTGTACGAAATCCCTGGAGACCACAGCAGCAATGCCGGGGAGACGCTCGGGACACCCGACGCAGCTGCGGACAGCCAGTTTAACGCCCGCTTGGAGCGCATTGTGGACAAAACGGCGACAAAGGGACGCCATGTGAAAGTCTCACATTCGGGCCGGTTTAAAGAGAAGAAGAGAATCCGCTCTACGCTAGCAGAAAACCCTGACCTGTTCCCTGAGGCAGAAACGGCAACTAATGAGAATAATAAAAGTGGAAAATAGAGTCTCTGTGTGAACATATATAGAGTCACTGTGCGTGAAGCAGTTCAAGAGGGCCTTGGTCTATGCAGCACTCTTCCATTGATGTCCTCTGCAGTTTACAATCACCTGAGGTTGAGCCTAAAGCAAGAAAAGGAGCGCTGAATTAGTGACTGATCTATACTAATGTTTAGGAACAAAGACAGGCACAAACCCAAAGATCAGGTTTCTTCACAGATACGCACGGCAGGACTGCATTGTGCTCGTCTGATGAAAGGCTGACAGCTAGCAAATGTTTAGCCAAGAGAAATCCACTGAGAGAGAATCAAATCAATCATATCTCATCACAAGATATCAATAATGTTTTGATTATTTTAGTTTCCTGTTTTTTTTTTATATATATGGCGAAAACTACAATTGCAGCTACAGCACTTTTGATTCAATAGGAATATTACCAGCAATAATATGCTATTATATTAAAAGATCATATAGAGACGTTTATTCCACATTTCTAATATATTGCAGTTATATTAAAATATTGTTGTTATTATCATTATTTTAAAAAAGTCTTAATGTGACAGCTTTTAACCACCAACTAGACCAAAATATCTGTTTTAAATAAATGTGCCTGTGTTGCTTTGATCTTGCTTTATACTTATTGTGTTTATAAAATGTAATCTGAACATGGTGGGGATTTTCCATTTTAATTATTGTGTTTTTTTATGTTGAAAGTAATTGTCAAATGTTTGCACACGGCCTAACTGTTTGCTTAGCTGGGATTTTAAACTGAATTTTGTACAAAATTGTGTTGTTTTTAAATAGATTTCTCTAGAAAATAAATGAATACATTCAGGATGGGAGCTGTCTTTTATTGTGTATCTTTCTTTGTTCAGATGCATCACTGAAATAGGATCACTAAACTTATGTGTAAACAAACTACGCACATTCCTGCTTTTACCGATGACTGGCTGTTCAGATTCTCTATTGTTTCTACCTGAGCTTAATACAGCTTATTTCGTCCCTTTATTCACTATGTTCCACCAGCTAGAGTAAGGCTCTTTCCTTTCCTTTGTCTTTTTTCCATAACAATAATTCCAGTAAACACAACTGAGGAAAAACTAGTTTAATTTTTGTCCAGCAGAGGCCAATAGAGCCAACACTACATACGGGGAATGTGGACAACCTTCCCTAAAATGACTCATGCTCTGCTTTCATGTATGTTTTGATAGACTTTGTGCTCACGACACATGTGTTTGTCAATCTATCGACTGATAGACAAATACAATGTTGATATCTATTTGATGCCAATAGTCGGGCTCTGATTATATTCTTTACAACACCGTGTCGAATAACAATATCATTCGTTTTCAACATTTGACATAATCAAAAAGACTCCTAATCACAAAATATATCCGAATAGATATGAAAAGTTGTAATACTTATGTTTTATATTCACAACGAATGATACAAATTTACTAAAAACGATGGGTCTATACGCTGTCTGCGCCCAGTAACACAAAACAAAGCGCTCTGGCGGAAGGATATGTCTGAGCGGCGCTGCGGCCCTATATCAACATGAACTAAACGTCATCAGCTGCACATCGCTTCTTGTCCCGGCTGATTTTTTGTTGACACCCGAGCGTTTGTGCTCTTCGCCGAAATGGCCGTGTGATCTGCAGCCTGTAGACAGCGCGCAAACTCCTCAGTGCATCAACATAGTGCACTGGCTCAGTACATTTATTCCAAAATGGCGTAAGTATACTTTAAATTGTTTTAGTCTTACAGTGTCATGTTGTTTAGACAGCCGGCGAGGCGGAAGTGCACAATTAAAGTTATTACATTATGACCATACGTGTTTTAGGCTCTCTCTTACGTGTATATTGGGGATTTATTCATTTTAATAGATGTAGTATAATGTTTCGCGTGCGAATAATATCGTGACAGCCGTCTGGAGCTTAGCGCGCCATATGTCTGATCGACAGCGACAACATCAATCGACGGATTTGTAGTCATTTCTGTTTTAAAATGTACCATAATGTCTCTGTTGTCTGTAGGGGATTCCTTTTGAATAAGCCTGGTAATGTTGTACTCAAGTTAACAAGAGTTGAGACAGTTTATTTGACTTCTCTTTGTCGCCGCGTGCTCTTCATAAAATGGCGCACGTTCCTGAAAAGGGAGCGGCCAGCCCTGAAATGGCGGTGTCCCCCCCATACAACAGCGCATCGCAGTGTCTTTCTCCGGAAATTACATTTTCGTTTCATTTTAATATCTTCTTAAATCCAATGAGCTTTTTGCCTCTGGTAAATTGGAGTTGAGCGTTTATAAATAGAACCTAGTCTGCTGACTGTAAGTGATACAAAGTGTCACGTGGTAGATGCCCATATTTGGGTAGAAGTGTAGGGTGTGGGTAGATGATGTCATTGTGCGTCAGGAATAACTAATGAGGCTTTATTATTTCATATTTGATTGTTTACATTTGAGTTAAATTTGCATTTATTGTTATGTAAGAGATTAACTACTTTTCATCTGATTTTGCAGGTCCCTTGTGGCAACTCTGACCTTTGCTGTACCTGACAGCACGAAATTATTCGAATTCTCAGTAGAAGACTCCCTTATTCCACTTGAAATAGACAGCCATGTCTTTGATGAGCTCACGGTTTGGCCAGGACGAAGTGTCACGTGGTAGATGCCCATATTTGGGTAGAAGTGTAGGGTGTGGGTAGATGATGTCATTGTGCGTCAGGAATAACTAATGAGGCTTTATTATTTCATATTTGATTGTTTACATTTATGAGTTAAATTTGCATTTATTGTTATGTAAGAGATTAACTACTTTTCATCTGATTTTGCAGGTCCCTTGTGGCAACTCTGACCTTTGCTGTACCTGACAGCACGAAATTATTCGAATTCTCAGTAGAAGACTCCCTTATTCCACTTGAAATAGACAGCCATGTCTTTGATGAGCTCACGGTTTGGCCAGGACGATATGGAGGTCCTTCTTTGGGACCCATCATCACCGATGGCTGACCCTCTGGGGTCCTTCCTAGATAAAGATGAGGAGGTTCTTCCTCTCGAAATTACATTTTCGTTTCATTTTAATATCTTCTTAAATCCAATGAGCTTTTTGCCTCTGGTAAATTGGAGTTGAGCGTTTATAAATAGAACCTAGTCTGCTGACTGTAAGTGATACACAGTGTCACGTGGTAGATGCCCATATTTGGGTAGAAGTGTAGGGTGTGGGTAGATGATGTCATTGTGCGTCAGGAATAACTAATGAGGCTTTATTATTTCATATTTGATTGTTTACATTTGAGTTAAATTTGCATTTATTGTTATGTAAGAGATTAACTACTTTTCATCTGATTTTGCAGGTCCCTTGTGGCAACTCTGACCTTTGCTGTACCTGACAGCACGAAATTATTCGAATTCTCAGTAGAAGACTCCCTTATTCCACTTGAAATAGACAGCCATGTCTTTGATGAGCTCACGGTTTGGCCAGGACGATATGGAGGTCCTTCTTTGGGACCCATCATCACCGATGGCTGACCCTCTGGGGTCCTTCCTAGATAAAGATGAGGAGGTTCTTCCTCTCGGAGGCACTGAATCGCCCCTCTCATCGTTTTCCTCCTCTCCACTTCCCTCTCTCTCCCCACCCTGCACTCCTCCCTCCCTTCAGAGGGGGGAGAAGGCTGGGCTCAATCAACTGTCCCTGTCCTGGTTCTCCTCAGATGAGCTGTGCCAAGATAATGGTGGCGGAGACGGCAGTAATGGTAAGGTGTAGCAGTTTATTCAGAAAATACCTGCAGTGCTGTTGTTTCAGCATATTGATAGTTTGAGCAGTCAGTCATTTAACATGTTTTTTTTTCTTTCTCTCAGATCATTCATTCAGTGAAATGGATTGGATGACAGAGCGAATTGATCTAAGTGAGTTCGATCTGGAGTCTTTGATTGACTCCTATGATTCCGAGGATCCGCCCAGTTCTCCTGAGGAACTCATTGCTTCTCTGGAGTCACAAATAGACCTGGAGTCCCAGCCTGTAGCTTCTAACAATACCCCTTCACCCTCTCCCCCAGTGTCTGTCCCTGAAATTGATCAACTTTCCAACCTTGCATTCACTTTGAATACTCCAGTTTCTACTGCATTCATTCCCTCAATACCCTGTGAAGTGTCAGATTCCTTCTCTGTAGTCCCTGAGCCCCAGGCCGAGCTTGAGATAAAGTCTGAACCGGCCTCCCCAGTCCCATCACCTTCCATCCTTCCACCCGAGTCCCCTACTGACACCCTTGAGCTTGGTTGCGAGGTGGACATAGCTGAAGTGCAGAGTCCAACCCCGGTTGAGATGCGGGTGCCCAAAATTATCCTGTCCCTCTCCCCAACCCGCATAGTTCTTGTACTTGCTCCCAAAGAGGAGGCTAATGTGATGGCGACCCATCCAGTTGAGGTGGTTGTGGATAATCCCCCAAGTCCAACCTCCCCCGACCCACAAACCCCAGCCTCTCCCCTGTCTCGATCTTGCAGGGTGAAGCCATACCCTACACCTGATTCTAAGCCCACCCAAAATCAGCAATCAGAGTCGCCTTCCCTCACAGGAAGAGTGAAGTCAGCCAGTGGCTCAAAGGTTGTGGTCGAGAAGAAGCTGAAGAAAATGGAGCAGAACAAGACTGCGGCGACCCGCTACCGACAGAAGAAGCGTGCAGAGCAAGAAGCCCTTCAGTCAGAGTGTGCAGCTCTGGAGGAGAGGAATGAAGAGCTGGCAGAAAAAGCAGAATCACTCAATAAAGAGATTCAGTATCTGAAAGAGCTAATGGATGAAGTCAAGAGGGCAAGAGAGAGCAGGAATATGAAGTCGTAGAAAGAAATGGACACAAGAGGCTTGAAGCTGAGAGAAATGGACGGTTTCAGCATAGTCTGAAGTGCAGAATACTAGGGATGTTGGTCCTAAAAGATAGTGTTTCTTGAAGGGTTGAATAAATAACTCTTTTGATTCTTCCCCAGTGACTTAGTAGAAATGGCTTCCTTTTTAGCATGTCAGCTATCAGTAAAGCCTGAAACTTTTACAAGTGTGTTTTTATCTTGTGTATCTCAATGTTTGCACAGTATCGTGTATTTTTGATTGTCTTGACATTTCCTAATTGATATTGTGCTGTATAAATGCCCGATATTTAAACTTTCCTTCTGTCTTTATTCATAGAAATGGTATGGTGTGGACTTATTAGATTATATATTGACCGTCTATGGGCCTTTCACCACTTATCAACTAACTTGTGTTATTTGTGTAATAAACATTTTAAAAGATACTTGTATTTCATGGGTCCTTTCATGATGAAACTGGAGCAGAAATTAGCTTTAGTAATTCATAAATTTGTTTTAGACAACCATTCACTACTTCTATAGGTAGGTCATAAGATAAGGATCGAGGATTTAGAATAATGCTTAAAATGATTTAACGTATGAAGTAAATATATTTAGTCCAAGGCAATTTCCATTATACTAATAACACGAATC